ACACACACACACACACACACACACACACACACACACACACACACACACACACACACACACTCACACCTAGGGACAATTTAGAGAAACCAATTTAGGAAGAAACAATCATGTTTAATAAATTGTGGCTGGGTTTATTTGACTTTTTGGTGCCCTGGCCCTTTCTGGCCCCTGTGGCTTCTCCATGACAGTTTGGCCTTTAGCAGTGAAAGAGTCATCCTCGTTTCCCTTGCAGCTTTCTTTTTTAGCAGCGACACTTCCCCTCCCTTCACTCCCTTACTGCCATCCTTTGAGGGAAATGTCAGCTAATTAAGGGTTACATGGTCGACCTTTCTTCACCCCACTTAGGCCCATTTCAGTCGATGTGCCACAGCGTCCCAGAGTCTGGCTTCATGCTACAGGTTGTCCTTCTCTGCAGGAGTGTACCATGGAAACATAAAGATGCATACGCAGGTGTTTTTATTATTTTTTTTCTGTCGCCTTTTATATGCTAAATATTGCTACATTCCTATAGAGCAGACGATTTAAATTGAGGGAATGCTAGTACAGAGATTGCAAGTGTTAAAATTACAAAACCAAGAATGTAATTCCAATTGCAATAAAGTACGAGTTTAAGAACATCTTTGGATTTTTCTTTTTTTAATACTGTGAGGAGAAGCAGAGAACACTCTGTACCTTTCCACTCATTTAGTTATTGCCTGAGGTCACATAAGTGCATCACTAAACACTACACTGAAGAGAAGCATTTTATCAGAATGCATCAGTCTGCAGGTTTTAGATGCATTTCCAAACTGCCTCCGTGGTTTCAACTTTCATTCTTGTTGCAAGTAAAAAAAAGTTTAAAAAATATTTAAATTATTTCCTCCTCTTCCACTCATTATTTGCTCTCTCAAGTTTTTGCGAGATGGTCCAGCAGATGGGACTTCTTGTTCTTCAGTGTTACTCCCACAACAAGGCCTGCAGCTCTCTTTTCTCTCCCTAATGTAATTTATCACATTTTCATTTGTTTTCACCACACACCTGGAGAACGCCGTTATAATAAATCTACAGTTTGATTTATTATGTGTCCCTTTTCTACTTTAATGAAATAATGACTCAACTAACTCAAAAAATTCAACTCCTGGAAAAAAAGTGAACATTTGAGATTCTGCACGTCCAATTAAGGGTCTTTTTTTCTCATTGTTTGTTTGTGATGCTTGTAAATATGGAATTTATTTAAATTAAGAAATAAAAGTGAGGACGTAATTTCTCCATAAAGTCATCTTTCTCACTGTTTGGTGAAAACTTGTGCTTTTCAAGGTTTGTTTGACAAGTATTTATTAATTCAATTAAATTCAAAAATACTTCATTAAATGCAATAAAAGTTTTAGAAACACAATCTGTGCAAATTAGAAAAAAAATAAAATATAATAATGTATAATTAGTTTCATATCATCACCCAATAATTCATCAATGATACTGTTAGCTACTATCATAACAGCAACTTTGTACTTAAATAACAATTTTACTTACATTTGTAAATGTGTTGATAGAAATTCTAAATAATTATGAAAAGGTTTTGATAAAACCGTGAGAAAACAATACTTAGCATCCAGAAAAATGAGTGACATTTTAAAACAAGACATGAATCATGAAAAAATTACTTGTTTTTCAATTCAGAAGAAAATAATATAGTCTGGTGTAAACTGGTGTAAACTAAGGTGACAAACAACTATGGAAGAAAAGATTTCTCTACACAATTTTTTTTTTTAATTTCTTCGAAACTAATTTTTTAATTAACTGAACATGAGTACAAATAATGGGGGTTAAATCATTCCTTATTCTATATTTTCAAATCTTATGAAGTGAAAAAGTCAATGCCACTAATTACTGGGTTTAAGAATTTTTTAAGGATTATTTTTCTATGATTCAACTGTTTTTTTATGACTAAAATATATATATTTTGCCAGACAGCTTTGTTGGACAATCTTTAATTCTGACCAAAAACACAAAGACAGTTAAAACTAATATGCTCGCTTTGTTCTTCAACTCAGCTAATTGTGTTTTACAAATCTCAAAAGTCAACAGTTGGTTTTGTAGTTGGAGCTAAAACCCGTTTTGATGCTAACACATTCTAATCTCACGGCACTTTGTGTTTTCCATTTCAGAGACATCAAACCTGACAACATACTTCTGGATGAGCACGGTAAGATGCTTTATTAAATCATCTTTTACCACAAAGTGATTCTAGTTTTTCAGATGTAAGCTTTATAGCTGTCTCATGTTATAGTTTATCTTTGGAAAAATTACATAGAGAATGTCAGCCTGAGTTGAAGGAGGCACTGTGCCATTTCTGTTCCAAACTATGACTTTACATGAGATGGACGGTTGTTGTGTGAGGAACATGGATGAATTGGTGAACGTCACGTCTCATGTCTGCTTCACGGGAAAATTCTGCTCAAAATCAGAATTTTGAGCTGGGAGAAAAGAGGCAGAAACAGAAGTGGATGTGTGGTCGTGTGTGTGTTTGTGTAAAAGATGTTGAACGGAACAATAGTAAATCAAAGGAGTGTTAATATAGACTATAAAATCTTTCATCAATATGCTAATGAAGAGGAATATAAAGCAGTTCCAGTTACGGCTCGTTGTACGCAGGTCCAACACAAACTTTTAAGATGTGGTGCACTATGTAGATTTATTTATGTACTCTGGAAAAAAGGATTTAAGATGAGATGAGATGCCTTCATCAAGTGAATAATACAAGGAAATTGCAGATGTGTGTCACAGCAATATACATGGAGAATTACTTTTTCTGTTTAGTTTTCAAATGGAAAACATGTTTCTACTTGTACATGAACTGCAGGACTAAAACACTTGACTGATGGTCATTATTAGGGAAAAAGAGCCAAATGTGATGTTAAATTTACTTCTTTAGCTTCAGTTTGATTGAATATATGTAAATATAATATATGTAATAGAGTGGATCCCAAAAGTATGTATACCTCTGTTGAAATGTTTCGATTTTCTGATTTTCATGATTTAAAAAAGAATAAAACAAGTTTATTCGAGGAAAGAAATATAAAGAATTTAAAGATGCAAACACCTGGTTACATTAACATGCACATCCTTAAACTAGTACTTTCTTGAACCTCGTTTAATTTAATTTTAGCATTCAATTACCTTCACTCCTGATGGACAATTAGATTGACTAAAATAAATTTACTATCCTTTGTGTGATTTTCCTTCCTTTATTGCTTCATTTTAGCTTAACAGAGAAGTTAAAAATATTTATAAGCATATAGTTGATCAAAAATCCACCACATCATGTTAGACTCATGGCACAGTAGGACATGTAATACTTATATAAGGCAATAATTGTAAAATATTTGAAACAACAAAGAAGTACAAAAACTGGATATTCCTTAAAATACAATGAAAAGATGAAATCTAAACTGGTCAGAAATTTTATAAGCAATTATTGGTTATGTTCTGATTGTGACAGCAGTCTGCTGTGTCCTCCATGTGTTGGAACTATGTTGTCTTTTTTGCATGGTGGGATTATTTTCTTTAAATAAAACATCCACACCTGATTTAAAACAACCAAACTTTGTGAGAGAATGACAAATGAACACCAAATTTGGACAAAAGAGTTTAGATTTGATAATCGTTTGCAAGCTGCAGTGGGTAAATATTGTCAGGTTACGAGGCGCTCACACACTCCTACCAAAGGAGACTGACTGCTGAATTTTAATCAAAAGGCTAAACAAAAAAGTGTTAGATTGCTGATGTAAACACTTAATGCATCTTTCTCAAACTTTATATTTTTCTTTCAACATGTTTTTACAGTTGAATTGCTTATATAAGGCAATAATTGTAAAATATTATTACACTATAATGTGAAGAAGTTTAGACATTGTTCATAAGCGTCTCGTTTTTTACATCACCAAACTGTGATAAAGTGACTTTTGAGAGTGATTTTATCTCAAGCCTCAAAGGAAAATTATGCAAGTTTTGTATTTATTTGAATTTTTAAAGCAGTCCATAAGGAATAAAAATGTAAAAACTAACAGCCTGAACACTGGCCAGGAAATGTAACGGTGTGACATATGAGCACTTGGACAGAGACAGAAGTCCTGAGATCTCAGGGGGCAGTGGACATCTGCTCAGGGAGCTTAGGGGACATGTAGGATCAACGTCCTGCTGTCAAAATGGAAAGGAGGCAAAGTAGAGAGAAACAAAGAAAGACAGGGAGCTGAGAAGGAGAGAGGCAGACGAGATGAGCCACTCAACAAGAAGAGGAAAAGTGATGAGCAAACATTTCTGAAAGGATTTGCCAAAGAAAGGACAAACATCAGAGATATGAGAAGATTAGGAGGGAAAAGAAACAGTTTTATCAGATTTAGTCGGATTGATTCAGCAGAACAACAAATGCTCACCTGTAATCTCTCTCTTTGTCTGCGTACGCTTTTACAAACTCAGTGCACTTTTATCTATTTATGCACTCCAGCATCAATGTTTTTTTAACGCAGAGCTGCGGTTTGGCTCCTAACTGAACTCTCACAAACAACATGAGCCATCAGAGGGGGAAGTGAGCTGTTTTCTTCTCCTCATGGGGAAATTTGAAAGCACAAATTGACCTGTGACCCTTTTATTCCACAGGGAGCTGCTTCATATAGGGGAAAAACAATTTACTCATGCCCAAGTGATGGCGCTTTATTAGGCAACATAGCCCGGGGATGCAGGGACGAGGACCTGGGGTGCCGTTGTCTAGGTTATCCACTGTGGGCTGCTGTTCATGTTTCCTACAAAAACAGACGCAGTCCATGACGAGAATGTGGTGACGTAAGCTGCAGATCGTTTCTCCACCCCAAACAAACAACGGGAGACATGAAGAACTGTTATATCAATTCCCAACTGAGTCCTTAAAGTTACAAGTTTTAATTGCTGCGAAGCAGAGCAGCTTTGACTAGGATGAGCTTATCAATCCATTGATCACCAGTAATATTCATAATCATACAGGTGGAGAGGAAAAGACCACGGCCATTATGTTTATTAACGTACTTAGATATATCTTTTTGTGTCATCTTTTTATATTTTGTCATTTTCTTGTCATTTTTGTCTCAAACCCACATTATACTTTTCACAAATTTAAATCATAAATTTTTATTTTTTGTAGTTTTTGCTACTTAGAACCAATAATAAATACTCAACCCCTTGAATGTTTTACACTTTTTATTGCTTTTATAAGATCAACAATATTTGACTGTTTTAAGCAAAAAAAAGAAAAACATCAAACAAAAATGTCATCGTGAAGACTGATTTCTACAGAATGACAATAAAAGATAAGTTGCATAAATGAGTGATTCCATATTCACTCCTTCATGGTCGTAGATGGACCTTTGACTGAAATCGCAGCGTGGCGTCTCCGTGGAAACGTTTCAATCAGGCTGCACATCTGGACACGGCAATTTTATTCCATTCTTCCATGAAAAGCTGTTCAATCTCAGTCGGGCTGCATGGGGAGCCGCTGTGAAGAGCCGGTTTCAAGTTCTACCTTTCCACATGTAAAACAGAAATGCTTCTTGGAAATAATCAAAAATAACAGCTTTGGGTTTTACGTTTACCAACTGCATGGTAAAATTCAAGAAAGACATGTTGATGATGGATTTATATGATAAACATAAAACTGTTAACTTCTGCAAACTGTGGTAGGTTGTAAGATCAGTGGATATTGTAATGTGTGATTTACACAATTCTTTGTATTTAATTAATTGAAGAGAAAACATGTTTGGGAATTTCTGTTGTTGGTTTTCCTTCAGACTGCAGGAATGAAACTTTAGGTGCTGCTGGTTAAAAGTGACCAGCAGCATGTTGAGCATGAAGGGACGTGTTAAATGTCTGCAATGTTGTGTTTTATATGGATGTTTGCCGTATTGATTTTTTAAATAATTCTGCAATAAGCATGTCTAATTCAACAAAAGAAAAGTTTAAATCGAGAGATAAAGTGAGCTAGATGGTTCTGACAGTATTTCTCTTCTTAAACTCTCATGTCTGCTTCATTTGTGTATTTTTTTTAACTAAAGACATTTTTTATGTGTAAAGGGTCAGGAGGGACACCCATTCATCCGAGTAATCACTGCTCTGCATACACGGCTGCACTCTAACTGCCCAAGGTATAGAAAGATGTAGCGTATGCAGGCACATATCCCACATTCAGCTCATTAGTGTGTGATCAGTGAGCATAGCAAAGACTAGGCCTTCTCTCTCTCTCACCATGTTAAGGCTCAGGTCAAAGCTGTGACTTTGAAAACCACCGACGATGCTACTACCTCCCTCGCAGAATCAAAGAATAATCAATAAGGAGTAATTTAATTTTCTTTGACCAGTGTATATCTTCTTCTTTGATAATAAAAAAACTAAGATTTAGGATAAACCTGCCTGGAAGCTCCACTGATTATAGTAACTGTAGTAGTAATAATATGATTCATCTGATCTGCAGGCCATGTCCATCTGACGGACTTCAACATCGCAGCCATTGTAAAAGAAGACCTGAAGGCAACATCAATCGCTGGAACCAAACCATACATGGGTAAGATCAGAACGTTTTTCTCAAGTCTTCAAAGTCCAGTTGGATCTGGAATGAATCAAACTCACTAAACAAACTGGTGAATCGATGCTGCAGTGAGGATTCCTCCCCTTTTGGTTTGAACCTCAGTTTGACTTGTTTGTTGTTGGTGAGTAAAAAGACAAGTTCTGACATCTCTCATAGAAAGATTTATAAATGCACTTCTAAATCATCTTTGATATTGAGTGTATTTTTTACATGAACACATCAAACACTGACCAGAGAATTTTCTTTCTTTATTTAAAGAGGAGCAGTCTTTTGCCAAAGGTGAATGATGGAGTAAAAAAAGGACTCTCTCTTTTCTGATTTAGAGAAAAAAAATAACTTTGTCCAGAGCTGAAAAATATTTGCTCCCTTTGTAATTTCACCTTTTTATTTTTTATACTACTTAAATATTTCAGATTATTACATTCTAATGTAAGGCAATAATAAGTCAAGTAAAAACAAAAGAAAATTGTATTTATTTGATCATTTTTAACAGAAGGTTTTCAGTTCAGTTCATGTTTTAGTTCGATCAGGTAAATGCAGCAGCTCATTAAAATCCACCAGCACTAATTTGCTCTGGATTTGTAAAGGTACTTTTTATGTTAAATTACTTATTGTATGGTATTAGTACTTGATATTTCTGTATTTTATTTTTTTATTGACTCTAGAAGAAAACTAATGAAATGTTTTATAGATATTAGACATTTTTGCATATTTATAAAAAAACCTGTATAATTTGAAGCACTACTGTCTCTAAAAAAAGAAAAAGTTTATCCCTTTAGGCACAGATGTGCTTCTCCTCACTGTGACTCCTAAATGCATCAGACGTCACTTTGATGTGGATTCAGCCTCTGTGAGATTAGTTGGGAGTTAATAGGATTTCTGGGGGATATAAATGATGAGGTAGAACATTTATTTTTCTGTTTTTGAAGGTTTGAGTTTTGTTTTGTTTGTTTTTTTGTTTTTTTGCTCCAAGCAGACTTTTCTTTTTCTTTTTCTTTTTCTTTTTTTTTTTGGTAAATGTTAAAAGTTGGAATCCTGTAAAGTGAGTGATTGTTCCTCAGATTGATATTAGAATCCTGTGTGACAAGCTTAAAGTGGAAGATCAAGCATGATGGCAACTCTGGTCAAAATATACTCAGAAATCTTAAAATCAATTAACCTTCATCTCACAATAAAAAAAGTTGAACAAATATCCCCAAAAGGATAATCAGTTTGAGTTGGACAATGTTTTAGTAATATGTGATATCACAGGACAAAGAAACCTATTTCTCTATGTGCTACCATCTGCATGGTGAAATGTGGTGGCAGCATCATGCTGCTGGGATTCTTTCATTAGCAGGAAGGGAAACTGGTAAGAGCTGATGGGGAAATGAGAGGGGCTAAATACTGGAAGAATAAAAAACATTTGAGGTTTCAAAAGACTTTTCTGTGAGCATAATCCTGTCAAAGTAAAAGTTAAAAAAACAAAGCATTAACACAATGAAATGTATTAGTCAGTGCCTCTGCAGCATCATAAAAATCATGGGGGTTTGTTAGATGAAGTGTGTGCAAACAAGCAGAACACAATTTACCCCAGAATAGATGATTCTCTTCTATTAGAGGAAAAGAATAACCAACCATTAGTCACTGCCTGACTGCACTGTCTGCTATGTGAAATATTTAAAACATAAGTAATCAGACTTGAAGTCTGTTTGATCGTCTCTCGTGTCAAAAAGGATGAAATTTATCATTTTATGCCCGGAACCAACAGACCAGCAATGACCCTGAAGTCTCCACATGTATTTTTAAGCCTGATGCGTCACCATGTGTGATCTAGTGCAGAATAAAACAGATTAGAACATGTATACCGAAATTCATTGTGAAAGGGGGAACAAAATGTCTCATGCATTTTCAACAGTCACAAAATTTTCAAGCTAAATTTTAAAAAGGTGTCACTATGCCAGGCTAAATAGCATTCAACATCTTTCTGTAATATTTCTGTGTTTTGACAGAGTATTCAGCTAAGCCAAATAAAATCTAAATAAATTAAAAAATGTCTCAAAGTACTTTTTTTCATATGTTAAGTAACCTGGAATGTTATAATGATATTGTGTGTTTTGTTCTGTTCAGCTCCTGAGCTGTTCCAGAGCTTCGAAGGATCCCACCCTGGATACTCCTTCTCTGTTGACTGGTGGTCTCTGGGGATTGCAGCCTATGAGCTACTGAGAGGACAGGTAACAAACTCAAATGGCTCACCTCTGTGTGACCTTGGGCCTGTCTGAAGTCAGTAATACATATGATTCTTGCAAGGAGGTGCTTAACAGATCAGTAATCAGCATTTCACAAAGTTAAGGGAGGTCAAGCAGTTAAAAAAATCACTTTCTTGCATAAAATGTTTCTGTTCCATCATGGATGAGAAATGAGTTTTCACTTATTTCCATTCTGTTCTATTTTAGCAAGGGCGTAGGTTCGGTCTAAGTTTTGGTGGGGACC